TTCACTCAAAATTGATATTTAAAATAATTTTTAGTCGAAAAATAAGAATATTATAAATTTTAGGAAAATGGGCGTAGCCACGCCCACTTATGGTTACATGTGTATATCTTGGTAACCGCTGCATCAATTTCTTCCAAACTTGGCACAGATGTTGGCCTTAGTACAGCATAAAAAATCGCCGAAACTTTTTAAAATCGGACAATAACCACGCCCACATCCCATATAACGGTAATTTAGAGAAATACAAAATCTTCGATAAATCAGTAAATATTGAATATTTATTCAAAATTGATGCTTGCAACAATTCTTTACCAAGAAATACGTTTATGGTAAAATTTTGGAAAATGGGCGTGGCACCGCCCACTTATGATCACATATAAGTATATCGGTAACCGTTCTACCAATTTGTACCAAACTCGGTATGGTTATTGTACTTGCCACGTGTAAGCAAAACGTTGAAAATTATTGAAATCGGACTAAAATAACGGCCGCTTCTCATATAACGGTAAATTTCAGAAATGCTTGAAACTTCAATATTTCGAAATTGAAGGACGCTAATTTACTCAAAATTGATACACCCCGGCTTATCATCTAGCGGAAGGTTTCGGAAAGGTGAAAAAACATATATTTAATACTTGCGCCGGGTATTTAATGTTCGGCTCCGCCCGAACTTAGACCTTCTTACTTGTTGTTTTTCCTTTTGTTTGTTTAATAGTCCATCCTTTCTGGCTGAGGTAAGCTTTAATATTCCCTCTCGAGTATCAAGACGACCTCTGTTTTTGAAGCCACGCAAAACTAATTTTGAACTAAATAAATCATCCCGTTGCTTATGTCAAGATTTTAACTCTCATTCCAGCACGTTTGGCGTTTCTCACTCGATTCTCGAGAAAGCTATCTATTCTACTCTCAGTAATTGAAATACTATATTAAGCATATCCGATCAGCTGATGAATTTTACAAACGCCTGTTTCCACGACTCGGCACCAAAAAAAAAAGAATGGCATCACTGACTTTAATTATAATTTTGCAATCCAGTAGTAAATTTTACTACTAAGCTATTTTTAAGGCTAGAAATAGCATAATCGATGATAGTTATGTGGATTTGTATAACAGAAGCAAATGTTTGTGCAAATTGCAGAGACATATGTACATACATATAGGGTATTGAATATAGATACTCGATATTTAAGTTCAACCATAAATTTCCTCAGCCATTGCATTACATTGCTACTTTATTTGTTCAAAAAGAAATTTTCATATTTTTTATTCGTATTGAGCCGCATAGAGAGTTCGTAATTACCACATCGCCAACAGCGGGAGCTAATGAAAAATATGAGGCCATTGGCATTTGTGCTTATCACGGTGCGCTTTGTACTACTGCGTGCTGTCAGTTCTGTAGACACGCGCGTCATTTCTCTACCACATGTTGTGTCCAATATTATTCTTTCGCTTCCTTGCGATTTTCTATAAAATTTTCTGGTACTTACAGTGACTCAAACATATGAACACATGTTGATCTTTTTTTTCTTAATATTCGTAATGTGTTTCGAGCAATTTTTTGTTTTTAATTTTTCTATAAAAATACCACCGATGCTTTAACCAAAACCATATAGTACATAAATCAAAATTTCCACTTTTAAATCTGAATCTTAAAAACATTTTTGGGTATGCAGTTTTATAGCCTATACAATTTTAGTATAATGAAGTGCAAGTTTCAACCGGCTAAAAAAAAGCCCCCTTATAATATAGTTGAGTCCCCTTATGTGTACCGCAACTACTTTCCCATGTAAATGATCCATTTATTTTCCGGAAAAGACCTATCAATAAAATAAAGTGCTTCTATTCGCTTTTTTCGCATACAAATCGCTAATGCTTAGAAATAGTTTTTCCGAATAGGTGTCGCAGTTTAATATTTAGTTTGGAGTCATAGCTGCAAATGGAAATGGAACCAGAGTCTAGCTTTTTACACTGCACCCTTCGCTCCCAACTTGTAGAAAATTTATTATCAAAGCAGGCAAAAAGGACTGCGATAATTTCAGGAATTTTCTGGGTGTGGAGGGGAAGGCTCTCGTGATAAGCACACTTTCAATTTTGATGTTGCTGTTTGCCCAGCGTTCGTCACCATACTGTAATTCTGAAGAAAAGATGGGGCCTTACATAAGTCAGCTGTGTATAGCTTACGGTCGATATGTGGCTACAATCTACATCTTTTGCCTGTATCCTTTTTTAGAATTGAGGTTCCGGTAAAGCTTGTAGAATATCTTATTACATTAAATGAGCGATTCTTGCATATACTCCTGCGTTCAACTAATTAGAAACATTCAAAATGATATTGTTTGCAAATTATGTTTATTTTTAATAATTTTCATTTAAAATGAAATTCGATTTGTAACAGAAACCACAATAATAAAAGTTCAACTAATTAGCAACGAAATTCAAAATGATTGTTTGCAAATTATGTTTTATTTTTTTATTTTTAATAATTTTCAGTTAAAATATAATTCAATCTGGAACAGAAACCACAATAATAAAAGTTTCAAAGCTTGCAAAAATTGCAAAAAAAATGTTATCAAACTTCAAAAAATTGTCATCAAAATTTCCAAATTTGTAATAAGACTACTAGAAAATTTTCGGGTATGCAGTCTAAGAAAATGCAAGTCTCAAGTCGTTAAAAATTACCGTTGATTTTTTAGATTTTTTTTGTGGAGGGTGTTGCGGATTTTTTTTCATATAAAAAATTTTTGAAAATTTTCTAAGTACATATTCTGATAAAATTTTTCTTTCATTTTGATGACAATTTTTTGAAGTTTGAATAAGTTTTTTTGCAATTTTTGCAAGCCTTGAAACTTTTATTATCGTGGTTTCTGTTCCAGATTGAATTATATCTTACTTACTTACTTACTTACTTATTAAAAAAAAAAAAAAAACATAATTTGCAAACAATCATTTTGAATTTCGTTGTTAATTAGTTGAATACAGGTGTATGTACACATATGTACATATCGTCACCTCAATTGCAAAATAACGTAACAACATCGTCACTGAAATGCCAAAAAGTCGTAAAAAATTCACTTCTGATTGCTATGAATTCACTTTTTGATTGCTATGATGGATTTCATCGAATTACAACTCTCCACATCGTTTTATGAAAAAAAAATAGTCACGACTTTTTCCATTTCAGTGACGATGTTGTTATTTTGCATTTATGTAAATAGGTATTATCTCCGAGAATTCTCGTATAAGGTTGCCACTTATTTGAAATTAGTCACAAATTAAATAAAACATCATAATATGGGCATCCAATGGAAGCTATTTTAAAAATTACCAATTAATAAATATTTTTCAACGGGGTTGCCACTTTTTTGAATCGCATGCATAATAAATTTTTTGTTTAGAATATAAAGGCACAATATTACTTTTCATGGATACTAAAAGAAGGCTCTTATCTTAATTTCTACAAAATTTAACAAAAACAACGCAATACGGATATCAAATAAAAAGTATTTTTGAGAACTTTAATCCGAAAATATTTTGGATCGGGCTTGCCAGGTATTTTTAATACAAATTTGTATTTTGTTAATTTCATTAAGCATTGTTTTGTTCGCACGCTCAAAATATGTACTCTTCATCTCAGCGTATTTTCAATCCTAATATTTAAAGTAAATTAATTACTTATGTATTTTATAAGATACCAAAAGCCAAATCTTTCTTAATTTATTTGCAAAATATTCCTTTCAAAGCTATACAGATAACCCATGTTTGATACTCAGACCTTGAAAAATTTAAAAATGGACTGCGAGCAAAGCTCATCAAACCTGGTACCGAATAATGAAAACTTGTACTATATTTTTATTTCTAAAACATGGTCACCGTAACTACATGCCAACATTAAATATCTGGCTGATTAAATACTCGCACTCACATCTACATACTTGGATAACGGTTTTATTGCCTGGTGGTTAGTAGGATGTCAAATTAATGTCAATTATTTTGACAGTAGCCACTTTCGCTTTGACATTTGATTCCTGTAAGACTTTACCAATAGGTTAAACGTCACATGCACCCATACAAATACACGAATACACGCATACATACAGATGAACGCGCACAAATTAAAATGCATATATGTAGTATGAATGCAAATCTTAGCATTGCGGACGTTACATTCGGACGTTTCTTTTAACTTTTTTGCGGACAAAAAGACTTTAAGTTAAACATTTTTTGTGCTAAAAGGGGCGGTTTAAAGCAGTACTTATGAGAACAAAATAATGGAAATTTGAATTTGAATAAATGTCGGCGTATATGCCTTAGAAATTTGTGTTTGCGCGTTACTGAAAAAGAAAGCGATTTTGATATGAGAATACAGTCAACAAAAATACTTTGAACAGAAAATAATTAAGTTCACGAAATGTATTATAAAATCGAACTCAAGGTTGGATTAACCTCAAAATAATTGTATATGTGAGTTCGGGACGTTATGTTGCGGACGTTACTCTTTTTGCCGTTGAAAAAATTGATTTTTTTAAAGCGATATTGTTGTATTTTATTAAAAAACATAATGCCATTTTGACACAAAAATGCGAGAATTCGAATTGCCGGAATTTTTTTCGATTTTGTTTGAATATTTTTCTCGGATTCGCCCATATGCTTACCTCGCTTATTTTGGCGCGAAATTCAAGTTAAAGAAATCCAAGTCAACAAATTGTGTCCATATCATACGAACATCTATTCGATGAACCAACACTACTCACTAGTTCTACGATGTATGGCTCACATATTGAGGATCTGTATTTATGTGCGTATATTCTAATACTAGAATTTGATTTGTTTTTTTGTGGCATGAAAAAAGTATCAATCAGCTTAGGAAACTTTTTTCTTATGTACTGTGCTGGTTTATCAATTCTTCTTCTTCTTACTCTTCTTAAATAATTCACCATTCTTTATTTTAACATTTCTTAATTTAACTTTAATATGCCTTTCTGTTCCTTTTTCCATTGAAGGATCGCAACAACGGTCAACCGTCCTGCGCTGGTCTTTTTGTTGGCGCACATCTTGGTTTTGATTATCCTGGCGTTTGGATGCATGTCGATATGGCCGCACCTGTGTCAACGGTATGTATTTGTATGAAAGATTGATAACACAGTGGAACAACCATTTTAGGGCCTCAACCAAACCAACTTCAAACGTTTGTAACCATACGTGGTAGTCAATTGCCAAGAGGATTTAGCTCCATATCATCAAATGTTTTTTTTTTTTGCATTACAGTGCATTAAAGTTTCAATATTTTGGTAAAAAATGAAATTATATTATGTAATCGACTCCAAACATAATAACTGTCTTCAGAGACCTATAGTAAAATATAATGAGAAATTTTTTTTTGTTGAGCTTTTTAACCTTTTAACTCTCATTTGCATGGGTCGTTTTGACCCTCTTTAAAATTAGTTTCTTAAAAGTTTATTAAAAAAGGCAGTTGATACTGCACCGTAAGACTTTTTTTTTTGATAATTCTCTCGTAATATTACCAATTCGCGCTGCTCTCATCTCTTGTAAATATTATCCCTAGTGCTTGTACAACTTTAGTTTTTTACTTTAAATTTTTTTCACAGCATTTCACTTATCTATGTATGTATCTCTAAAACAATACCTATCCACATCTATCATTTCAGGGCGAACGTGCTACTGGTTATGGCGTAGCACTGCTGCTAACACTCTTCGGTAACTACACTAAATGCAGTATGCTGCAATCGATAGCGCCAAACGAAGCGGAACCGCCAACGAAGCGCGTTTGTCGTGATTAGGCAACAACAATGAGAGCATCTACAACACAACACCATCAAGCGCTCTACAATCTATCACCAAAACCAAGGGTATTCAGCGTGTAACGCAAGCATGTTCAGTTTGATGCGACAGAAAACAGCGGGTGAGGGGAGTAGCAGTTACAAAAAAAAAAAAAGTGCAAATAACGGCAATCATTGCTGCTTGTCTATTCGCTGTAATTCTTTTACTGATTTTTCATTGAATTTTATTTTTTTGATTTTTTTTTTTGATATTTCTTTTCGGTGGCGTATAACCAATGTGTATGCTCTCCAGTTCATTTTCAATTTCAATTGTAGAGGATATTATCTGCAAATTCTACTTACTATTCTTTATCTTGTATTATGGAAGAAAAAAATACAAAAAAAAAAATATGAAAAAAGAAGCATTTATGATTGATTTAATTTCGCTGCGTCAAATAGCTTTCCACGCTTGACTGTTTCGCTATTGCAGCAATTACGTTGGACAGCTCGTGAACATAAGGATGGATGATGGGAATGTGTGTGTATGTGTGCATTTTTTTTACCTTTTATGGCTTACTTAGTTGCATACATATGCACGCATTTATACTCATTCTTGTGGTCATCTTGTTTTCGTCCAATTATAGTTTCCGATTTCACCACCGACCTACTTCTACAGTATCGGTTGGCAAGCAATTTCCAGATTTTAACCTGTACAGCTGGATTACTGTTGACTGCTAAGGATAAAATGCTTATGGTCTGTAGCAAAGAAAAAAAAAAAAAAAGAAAAGAAAATATTGAAGTAATTTGTCTTAACACAACGGACTATTGCTTTCTCCGTAGTAGATGTCTATGTAGTTGGCGATGGCAATAATTTTCATTTGTCTTGTTTGCACACAAATTGACTATGTCCTCTTTTGCTGGGATGTCTTCATTTTCAATTTAATGACTTCGAAATAAATGCATGCAATGCAAACATCATTTGTGTTGGCCAGAGTGCTTGGCAACCTGGGTTGGAAGCAGAAAATAAATTGCGAAAGGATTTTAGAAATGTAGAGTTACAGAGCATGCATTTTCCGGCATTTCTTTTTGTACGAGTAGAAGAAAGAAAATATCATTCTCATAAATGTACGAAATCACTAAGTCGGTTTGTGGTTAAACAAATACATGCAAAATATTCATTCCATAAACTCAACCATAAACCACAAAACACTCGAGCAGAATGCACATTTTTGAAAAATAACACACTTGCATATACAAAAAGTATTGCAAGGAATTTCCAAACTTTTAAACGTTTCGTAAGACACTTGACAATTTTTGTAGCATACTTCGAGGCATTGAAGCAGCCAAAGTTGCTTGCTTCATTGACCGTATGAGCACAATCAATTGTTTCTCAGCAACATCAACCATGCAACCACAACTTCTGCTTTCACATATACATATACATATACATATACATATGTATAAAAGTTTATGTGCGCATTTATAGGCTTTCACTCAAATGTTAAAAATTTCCTTATTTACTTATAGTGATGAAATCTAATAAAATCAAGTTTTGTCTTCTTACAGCGCCTCGTACTTGTACATTTACTTAGAAGAAAATATGTGTGTAAGAATAAGGAAAAAACCGGAATTTTCATGCAGCAAGCAAGCAACTGTTGAACAAAAAAAGAAAGGTCATAAAAAGGCACACAAGCATCGCTACAGTGATTGTCCTTTGGCGTAAGGAAAACAAACATTTTGCCAGACAACCAGCTAGTTGGTGTCAGTGCTATTAGAAGTAACACATATCGGGGCTCTTTTGTGCAAACAGCAGGACAGTGCTGGCAAAAGACAGCATTGCTGGTTGTCATCGAAAATGTGGATGCGTGTGTGTACGCAAGTAAATACATACATATGTATAGTAACATATGTATATACTCGTATGTAGGTAAACATACATACAGTCAGCGTCAAAAATATAGTTAATTCAATAGAAAAAAAAACACAAGAATCAATATTTTGAATTTTATACAAAACTCGGGCAAATGCAAGAAATACCAAACAGTTTTCATAGATATTTTAAATTTTTCATTCCGACTATTTAGAAGAAATTATTGTGTTCATGCGTTATGTGGAAGAAAGTGCGCAACACCCTTGGCAAAAAAAAATAAAAATCTCAAAAATCAACGGTAATTTTTAGCGGCTTGAAACTTGCATTTTTTAATACTAAAATTTAATGGGCTACTCAAAATTGAATCGAAGTGAAAATTGGAATATTCGATCACAACTTCTTGGTATTTCTTGCATTTTCACGAGTTTCGTATGAATTTAAAAAACAAAAATAATTCTCTTCGTTTTGGCAGTTTAGTGAACTATATTTTTAATAAAAAATAAGAAAAATCTGGCATGGAAATATAAATAAATACAATCGTCAAAATTTCAGGGTATGCATATTTTTGAGGCTGACTGTTCATACGTACATATGTATTAAGCGCACACAGCTCATTCAGCACTTGCACCATGCACACTGTGTACATGTAACACAAATACACCCAAGCAAAATGTTGATTTTAAATTTGTATCTAAATTGTTTTCAATATTCTTCATCGTACTGTATTTCTATAATGATAAAATTGCAGAGATACATACATATACATATATGTATTTACATATGTACAAAGATAAATTAAAATAAATAAAAAGAAAAAAAGGGATTGTTTACACAGAGTAAACACAAATAGATATCATCTCAAGGAGGGACAGTAAATATCGAATATCAAACGTACTACGCTCGGGGTGGATGCTATTAAAGGGTGATGCAATTTAATTTTTTGGTTAAAGTTCTACATAAAAATATCACGCATTTATTTATACGCTTTTGGGTAAACCATATTTCACCCTAAGTAAGAAATTATTAACAAAAATGACTCTACTCTATCTGGTCATCGAGTACAAGGAGATTACTGTGTGGGACTTTCGATAATACTAACAATAATGCATGCAAATCTATATGGAGGCGCGTCTCCTCGTATGAAAACTACACGCTATAAGTCACTCAATATACCGGTGCTGGTATAGGGCATAGAAGCATATATACTGATAACATCCGAAGGGGTGGTTCTTAGAGATTTCAAGAGCAAGATTTTGAAGAGGATTTACGAGCCTTCGCGGGCTAGCGACGACGAATACCACAGACGATAGAACGATTAGCTGTATAAGCTTTACAACATCATAGACATATCTCAGTGAACTCGAATATAGCCACTACGCTGGCTCGGTTATGTCGTACGAATGGACACAAACGTTCCAGGACTTCCGGAGGACTTGGCCTAAATTGGCATTTTTAATTGATTGGGGAGCTCCTGAGACTAAGGTCATTGCGGGATAGGTAAGCATGCCCTAAGGCTGAATATCATAGCTGCCCCGCCATTTTCCAAGCAGAGATTCATGCAATTGAGATCTGTGGCAGAGAATGCCTCAGAAGAGGCACAGCTTTTAAAAACATCTGCATTATGTCGGACAGTGAGGCTGCCTTCCCAGCGCTGAAGTCCCATACAATAACATCAAAACTAGTGTACGACAGCCTCGGTATCCTAATTGCTCTTGGAACAAAGAACGCATTATTACTGGGCTGGATGCCGGGGCATGAGGGTCACGATGGCAATGAGTGGGCGGCCCGTCTAGCAAAAAACGGAGCTACCACAATATCCCATGGCCCGCAACCGTTTTGAGGTTTTGTGGGCTCACCAAACAGGTCTAAACCTATCCAAAAACCTCAAAAATATTCCTAATGATTTATCTAAACCATTTCTGAGTGAGGTTTCACATTTCATTTTATTTCATCAAATCTTCCTGTACCGTTAAAAAGTTCTATCTTCAAAACGTTATTGCACATCTATAATTTGACTTATCATTTTGGAAATTCAAAATAACGTTGCAGATGTTATGACCTCATTACCACTTGCAATTAAAAACATAAATTCAGCTAGATACTTTAAGACGGCAGTTACACAACTTTTTACTTAGTTACCAATGTATATGTAGTTAGGTAAGCGCCAATCTATTATTATTTTATTATTAATTGTCTCTAAAGGTATCTAAGGACCATTAGTAGGGACCATATTTTATTATTTAGTAAAAATGGTCTTTCAAAATATACCTAATTACACTGTTATGACGCTAAAATGACACATAAAAACGCCGAGACCCGTAAACTTAATTTTGGGTCTAAAATAACGCACTTTTTTCTATACCGTTTTTTATCAGGTCATTTTCCCTAGTTTGCATTGCGAATGGAAAAAAAAGAAACAAATCAAATTTTAACACGGAAAATGGTACTCATAGGCCATGACGAATATTTACGAGTACGGCCATGTGCGATATGGCGTATGAGTAACATTATGTCCTGCCCCTATTTCATACAAAAAATTATTGCACATTTTTTTTAAGGGGGAGCACAGTAAAGTCGGAGTTGTAATGCTCTCACCCCTAAGGATTGTTCTATATCGAAAAAAAGTATGCACTTTTTTTTTTAATTTGAAATCAAAAAATATTTAGAGGTCGCTCAAAGCGGTCAAAGTTTTCCATGTATTTTTATATGGAAAAAAAAACAACTTTTCGTAGAAATGGTATAGAATTCTTGAAAATAAATATTTTTGGATCGGAAAACTCTTGTTCTATTCAGGAGACTTTCAATAATAATATTAAATTGTTTATTTGACCATTTTTTTAACAATAACGATTTTTTATTGGTCCCCCCTTGCATTTTTCGCGGTTTCTGTGGGTTTATGACGGACCTATAAATTATAGCTGCGTTGAAAAAATGGTTAAATAAACAATTGGGTATTATTATTGGGAATCGCCTGCAGATAAACAGATTTTCCGAGAGAAAAGTATTGATTTTTAAGAATTCTATACCATTTCTACGAATATAAAATAATGGAAAACTTTGGCGCTTTGAGCGACCTCTAAATATTTTTTGATTTCAAAATAAAAAATTGGGACATATTTTTTAGGTATAGAACAATCCTAAGGGGTGAGAGCATGAATATTCCGACTTTACTTTTTCACATGCAATTTTGGACCACCCTAGTAAGCACATAGTGAAGCGGCAAGCAAGACCACTAACAAATCGAAAAAAGAGGATCGAGCAAAGCGAAGAAAACAAAATGTGCAGCAGCAGGTGTTGAGATGATTCCACCTCCTCATCTTCCAAGTAGCTGGTGCAGTAAGGGTTATCGACGATATTCAGCCTTACTGCATTCCTACGTGTAACGCAATCACCAGTAAGAACCCCTACCAATAGTTAAAGGTTAAGTCATAAGAGCTCCTCGGACCGCTGCCGATCTATAGGTGGCCAGAAGGCTTTAGGCACCTTGCATACCAAGGTCTTCACTCATCGTCCGATGAGCTAACC